CGCAGCCTATTTATCCACGCCTCAGGTGGACGTACTTCCAATGTCGTCTATCAAGAGGCTCTTCAGTAAATAAAACTAATTTTTTAACAGATGTGTGATACACTACAAACACAGAAGTACAACTCATCACAATTTGACATTTTCCGTTTTTTCTAAGTGATGCAGTTAACACATGGTGCACAGTATCTTTTGTTAATTATATTTAATTGTTATAATAATGTACAATAAAAAATGTAAAATGTACAGGTAATTTGTTTGTTAATTGTTAAATTAATGTATTATTTATACACACAACCCGTCCTTCGAAGACGGGTACACAGCTAGTCATACATAAACAAACTCAAGACACAGTTCAATTAAATGACAGAATAAAAGTACATAAAATATATACATAATAATAACTAATAAATAATGAAGGAATATCAATTCACAGCTCCACTCTGAAACATCTACAATAAAGTCAATATCCTTTTTTAATTAAGGAGACAAAAATTATACACAATATTTCAAGTGAAGTCTAACCTAAATTTACTTGTAAGTAAAGAGATAATTATCTTTGTTTTTAATTGTTCTCAATATCTCTATAAATGCATCTTAAAATTCTACTGTTATAGTTTTATTACTAGCAACAGAGCACTGCTCAATGGCTTGAGTGACCTTTCTACCACAATGCCAAGACCTTTTTCTTCATTCATGTTGTTAAGTGAGATCATCTACATTAAACATGTGATTCAAGTTATGATAACCCACATGCATTATCTTGCACTTATTGTAATTAAAGCTCATTTGCCAATTCAATCCTTTTGGCCTTAATCCTAATCATATCGCATGAGGTTTAGCCAGCTTAGAAGACTTAGGTTAGTCCTAAAGCAACATACTAAACTAACAGTACAAAATATTAATCCTCATTATGAAATAATAGAAGTAAATAGAATATATATATATATATATATATATATATACTAAACATTTTAATGAATGCTACCGATAAAATTACCATTATTATAAAGAAAGTATGGAATATAAATTTACTTATAAGACATAAAAACTAGTTGTTTGCTCATGCACTATACACTATAACTAACTGTCCACTATCTATACTGAAATCCATCATATAGTTATTTATCTCTATATTTAATTACACAGGTTTGCAAATTTAAACTTCATAAAAGTTGTTTTGGTTTTAATAATGGATTTTCCATAATTCAGATATGCAAATTTCGAAAATAATATTCGTTATTTTCTATCACGTAAGAATATTTTAGAATTCAGAAAAAAAAAACTTTTATTTAGATCAAATTATTATTTTGTTTA